GTTGTTCCGGACTGTTGTCTCCATTGGTAACTTGTGAGAGGGACCTTAACAATAGGTTGAAGTAAGCCGGTTTTAGAATATTACAGTATCAGGGAGAAATAATTGTAAATGATGCACAAAAGCAAGCAGTGTGCTGTAGGGGTGCTGCATTATGTGATACAGTGTGAAAGGATGCATGGGAAGACTGGGCAGATATCAGTCCCATTAAATAGGAGGGGGCCACCCAATCTGTTCTTAAGCTTTCTGTGGGCACCTTAATTTGCTTGTGAGATTTACGTAGAACAGAGAGAGCCCTGAAGCAAGCATGTAAAATTTAGTGTCAAAGATAAGGAGTCAGTAAAATTTAATGTTAAAGATAATCTTGGGGGACCAAGGTTCCTCTCTATTTTTGTGTTGTATTTGTTACCTCTTAAAACTAGCAACAGGCTGTGAATGCTGGACCACACTCTGAGGCAGGTAAAGTAGTGATGCCACTGGCAGCTTTATTCAAGATATTTTAATTTTTTTTATATATTTTAGCATTTATTTCAGCTTTGTAATACTCTTCTGGTCAGATGACACTGATGCTTTTACAGTTGTTTTCAGTGTTAGCTCTGCCCAAGGATGCCCCAGTGGTGCCATTTTAGAATGTGGAATAGTGTCTGAATTTGGTCTTTCTGTGGCTTGTTTTCTTTAAATCCCTTTACCAGTTTGCATCTGATATTGATGTCCTTTGCTTTCAGACATGCAAAACTACATCTGGTACCACTGTGTATGTTGTCCAAGGCAAGGCCAAAAAAGAAGTGCAGTTTGATTTTTCTCTGTCAAGTAGACAAAATGGAATGGGATCCATCAGCTCTGAGGGAGCCGTGTGTGCTGCCCCATCCTAGATCAGGCGCCTGTGAGCAACAGCCTACCGTGCACCTGATTTTTCCTTCTTGGAGCAGATCAGTAGCTGAGGGCTTGACTGTGTCTTCCCCCCTCTTCTCCCAGGGAATGACAGCCCAGAAGCAATGCCTGGCTGGGGAGAATTGGAGCTGACAGTTTACAGCCCTTCTTCCTGGGAGTGGCATCTAGGGCAGCACAGAGTAAATGTCTTGCTGGGGAAAGATTGTCGGATGTAAGGAGGAGAGTCCAGAAAGGCTGGGACCCGTGAATTTAACTTATTTTTAATTCAATAATAATTGTACCTGGATTTCTCTGGTGGAGCAGTAGTCTGAGAACAGCCAAGATACCTCAGAGTCAGAAGTGTTGGTGTTAAACTGCGTGATATGAAGCATTTCCTGCTTCCTTCTATACCGAATGGTATGTCGTAGCCATTTTGCTTTCTAGATAAGCCTCTTCAATTTAAAGAATTTTTGTTCCTCTATTTAGTTGTACACTGAATTTGTAAAAGTTATTTTCTGGTCCATGTCCTTTTCAGGAAGGAGGTTAAACAGAATTTCTTTTTTAGGTAGTGTTGTTAATAACCACAAGGAGGCTGCAAATGTGAAAAAGAGGAGGAGGCAGGTGGATATATAAGGTTTTGCTCTACTTGCTGTGTTGTATTTGTGATTCTGGTTTTTCTTGCATGTATTTTTCACCAGTAATTTTATACAAATATTTCAAATAACAAAGTGCCTGCAATTCCTGAGATTCTCAGAGTCCTGCTTTGTATTGGACCATATTTATACATCAAGGCAACAGTAGACCGTTTTCTAACTCTAAATAATCCTCCTCACTTGAATATTCAAGTGCTTTCCAGAAAGTAGTTATCTTGCGTAATTGCTAACTTTTCTCTGAGGGCAGGAAGCTTTGCTTCTGTCTTAAAAAAAGAATCTGAGCCAGCAGGCTGAGTGCATTATTCCTCTGTGTTACGTGCAGAGTCTGCTGCTGCTGAAATACGAATTTTACTCAGATACTATTCCAGCTTTACAACGAGAATATTACAGAGTAGCTACTGCTGGTGACACTTTGGTGTTCTTTATGTACAGGAGCACTTCTGTTTCCATTTCACTTCATTACATGCACTATTCATTTTGCTGTTTGTGATTTCGCTCTAGTTCCAAATCAGAGTAGACCTCCTGGAGAAGCTAATAACGGGAATGTAAACCCTGCTGGGAGCGACCTGCCGCCTGCCGTTTGGTCGCTGCAAAGGAGTTACTGACTCGGTAGCAGGAGTTCATCAACACCGGAGCATTTCAGTGGTTGCTTCTTATGGTGGTCACAGATCTCAATGCAAAAATCCTTAGCAAAGCGTGCAAACTTTTAGGCCCTTGGCAGACACCTGACTTCTGTATGTACATTCATTAATTTTAAGGATTTACTGAAGCATTTAGATTCTTCCTGAAATTGCTTGGTTTCTGCTATCAATTATTCACAGTCCATGGTGTTTGTTTCATGTGTTGCATTTCAGGTGTTGCCTCACTTAGCTGCTGTCCTGTCTGCCCCCCCATTTCATTGAATGAGTGTGAAAACCATGCAACTGTGAAGTTACTTGAGTTCCTCAAAGATTACTGGGATGTCTGTGGAAGGAGTGGAACAGTCTGAGTCGAACTTATTCATGATTTTGTCTATAAATCTGGTAATTGTTGTACTAACAGTAATTGCTCTTGGTTGTGGTCAGACTTTAATACACTGGCTTTAAAAATTTACTGTACAATATATTGCTTCATTCTAAGTGACACTAGAAACTAACCCTACACAGAAAACAAACCGTGAATACATGTTACATATTTGCAGTTATCTTCAAAATTGCTGAGAATCTTCCTTAATGGAAGAACATCAAGATCAATATTTGACTGAAATTGATTTGAATGGTTGATACTGAGATAAAAAGAAGGAAAATAGCCTGATTTCACTGAGAGAATTAGAGGGGTAATGGGACCACAGCTTGCGATGGATGGTAATGGTTAGCACGGCGAGATGCATTTCAAGCTGTAACTGATCTGGCTATTTAAATTTATTTTTTTTTCCCCTGCATATTTTTGAAGCATTGAGTAATGTACCTGACGTGGGGAAGGGCTGTTTCCTGGACAGTCAGATCTATTGCCAAACTCCAGATTATGGAAATACCTTATTACCCAGTTGGTAAATCTGTCAGGTTTAGAGTTTTTAAACATAAATCTGCTTTTTAAAAAATAACCTAAACCCAGACAGAATTTAAGGTTTAAGAGCTGCAGCTCTGAGGATGAATGTGAAGCATAAGAGACTTCTGTGTCCTCTGCCATGAGCTTTTGTAGCCTCATTTCTTCTTCTGCCTGAGCTGTTGTGTTCATTGCGTCTATGGAGCTGATGCAAAATATTCTGATTATTTGCCCAGAAAAGCTCACCAGCCAGGTCCACAAATCAGCTCCAAGGGACCATAATGTTTTTGATTAAATCTGCTGACCTTTTATGTACACTTAAAAGGCTATCTTTTTATCAGAATGGGATGCTTTGGTTTTTTTTTTTTTAAGTTGCTTTGTATTAATGTAGTATATGTCATATACCATGGAATTTTAAGTGAAAGCGAAATGCTTTGATTTAATTGATACTGTATGTTTCAACTAACATAAAAAATGACTTTGTAGAAAAAAATAAAACCTCACATATTCAGTTTTGGAATGTGACCAAATTTTAAACTTTCACAATTCACTGTGAATCTTTTGTTCCCACTCCACTCCACATGTATGCAAAAATATATTTGCGGAACTGCACCCAATATAGTGATAGATTTAATGAAACAGGAGATAATTTCATAGAAGGAAAATTATATTTGTGAACTGTATATACTGTATACCTGTACACAGGAACAGAATCTGTTTTCTGGCAGGAAGATCCTGCCACCCTTATTCAACCCAGGTTTTCATAGTGAATATTCTAGCTAGACATGAGTGTCAGCTTTTCAGTAAAGAACTTTGAACTCCTGCTAAGAGGTTTATGTTATCATGAAGTACAGCTAAAAAAAAAGAGAGGAACAGGGCTGTCATGGCTTTTCTGCAATATCTCTTTTAAGTAGTTATTTTACAGGCAGGGTAGTCTAACCTTTGAAGTTGAAATGCTCACAGCATTAACATATAACTTCCCAACAAGAGCCCTTTTTTTTTTTTTGACTTTTACAAAGAGAAGCATAGTTTAAAAATACGCAGTTATGTGCTTAGATTTAAACATTCAACTGGAATCTCCCTGTTAAGTTGAAAAGGAGAAAAAGCTATAGAATTTGAGATTCAAATGGAACTTTCTAATTGACTTCTGGAGGTGGGATGCTCTTCTCCTGACACCATGTCTTTTAGCCTTCTCAAAACTAAATGTCTACCAGCCTTCCAGTCCAATCCTGTGGAGTGAGATGCATTTAATAACAGGCATGCATCTTCCTTCCCTGGCACCTGCCTTAGGTGGGGCAGGAAAGCACTTGGGAGGTGTTTCCGTGCTGCCTAAATGTTCTAGACAGTAAAGCTGTACAAACCTGTTCCCTCCCAGACACTGTAAGCTGTCACTTTTCTTAATATTCTTCTCATGTTCCATTTCCTGGTGTTCAGAAGAAATTCCAAATACTGTATTTTTCTTAGTGGAAATGACTCTGCTTTCTGCCTTAGCGCTTATGGCATCAGCTCGGGTGCCTTATAATGGCTCAGAAAAGCACTTGTGTAACGCCTTATTGCCAAAGGATGGTTTGTGGTGTTTCAAATAATTTGCAGTAATTTTGTTCTTTTATGCTGGCTTTTTTCAGGAAATGGGAAATAATCCTGATGTGATCTGGGAAGCCCTTCAGAATTATTGGCACTGTTGACCTTAACCATAAGGTGAAAATAGTAACAAGTGTATACAAGTGAAGTAATGCGCTGTACACCTGTAGCAAATAACTTTAATGCTGCTGGGCATGCTTTTCAAAAGTAACTTAGAAGAGACATTCGAACAGTGTTTTGAGCTCTTTGGTATAGCTCTTCATAAGACTTGTTCCAGATTTCTGAGTCACTTCACAGGTGAAAGTTTTCCATGTCATCCTTATTAGTAGCTGACAGCTCCATGATGTTTTTTTTTTCTCTCTTTCTCTTCCTCAGCTCCCTTTTTTAGATACTGGATACTTCTTTTATCACAATGGCATTGCCAAAGCCAGGAGAAGACGCAGCCTTCAACACAAACTTCATCTGGAAAAGGATGCCAGGGTAAGTGTTTCATCATTATATGCACCTACCATGTTTTCTCTGTGACACAGACTGTTTTATGAGATCAGGGTGATAATCAAATCTGTGGTTATGGCTACTTTTTTTTCCCCATGCTTGCGTCAAGCCTGGTGACTGCCGTATGCACATACCTCCCAAACAACTGCTATTTCACTACTGCAAGTACTCTTACATTCTCTGAGACGTATCTTCTCTCCAGTAAGACTCAGTGATGCCATCTCAATGTACTCTGTACTGTGGGGAAGGGGCCATCCAGGGTACATCACACAGTTGTCCCCCCTGCGCATCCTGCTAGTCTGTGGGTCATCCAGCCCAGACCACCTTGTGGTGTGAATGGTGGTGTTTTCTCTGTGGTCACACTGGGACTTTTTCTCAGGGAATGATGTACACCCTAGCTGCTAGAAGAGCGTATGCTGCCAAACCTCAGTGTTTCTTTTAGAGGCTCTTGCTCACAGTCTGCAAATGGTGTGCTCGGTTTTAAGAAGCGTAAACCACTCAGGTGGGAAAGGCCCCTTTTGCAGAAGGCTATGAGTTTGCACTAGCAAATTCTTTTTTTCTTCAGAGTTCTTACACCAGTATAATACTGGGCTGGAGTGTGGCCAGGTAGCACAAAAAGTGTATTTAATGTCCAAAGAAAGTAGATGAGCCTGAGGAGTAAGATCATGACAACGAATAGATTATTTTTTAATCCTTCAGTAGGCTTTAAGCTCTCTGCAGTGTGGGTAAAAAAGAGGGGGGAACAATTTTATTCCAGACAGAAATTTATTGACAGATATTCTGTACTATCAGAACACCTATGAAAATGAAAAACTGAGTAGGAAGAAAAGTAGGTTAAACAAGATCATAATTGTGGTTGTGACACCAGAGCAAGCAAGGTCTGATGAATTCCCAGCTTAATTTTCCTACTTCTGCAGAGATTCAAGTGGTTCTGGGCCCAGGTCCAACTGGGATGCCCATGACTGGTCACTCCTGCAGCTGGGAGCCATGTAAGTGAACTGTACAGGTTTTGGGTGCTGCCTGCCCCCATCACTGCATCCTGAGATTCTGAGACCTGAGTGCTGGCAGGTTTGCTGGGGCTGCTGCTGATTTTCCAGTGCTCTAAGGTATCTCTTCCTGGCCCCCTTCTCTAAAGCTGGTACCAGGTACAGGTGAGGGGCTATGAGGAAGAGACCCATTCAACCTGCCTTGAATGGAAATTCTCAGGCTTCTCTCATTTTGTTTACCAAACAGGGATCAGAAAGTAAACTGTTCAGAAACCATTTACAATTAGTGGATACTAAGCAGATGTCCTGACAGAGGTGTTGTTGATTTCCCTCAACCACCTGATCTTGTTAAAAGCCATTTCAGAAAAAGCATACAACTAAGTGAGTACATTGCCAACTAGTGAGTGAGTACAGTCATTGTGCAGGTGACCCTATACTGGAAAGAAATATTTCTGTAAGCCTCTAAAATTTTTACAAATATCTATGATAGTTGTATGAATCCACCAATTCTCATTGCAGCCTCAGAATTACATGGCTTAGCACTCCCGTATTAATTCCAGACTGGCTGTTGCATTGACTACCTCTAGACTAAGTGTCTGCAGTGCTATTAACACAGCTTAAATGAATCTACCTTCCTGTTCAGTGATGTTCTCCTTTGCAGACATATGATATTTGTGGTCTGAAGACTCTGAGTTGGCTTCTGTCATGTGCAATGAAATCTCATTTTTGCTGTTAATCTCCCCTTCTTCCTGGTGCTGCATACCAGTGGCTCAGCTCTCCTTGCCTCCCTCCTTTGATCTCAGGGAATAAACGCCTGTGTTTAAATAACTAAGAGTATTTCCCATGTGAGGAAAAGAATGATCCTGCGTGTATGCTGACCTCATGGGTTTCACTGGGGGATGGAAGGGGCATGGAAGCAACATTTCGTTTCCACACATGATGTTTTCTCATCTAGCCCTCCTACTTACTGTGTTCTGTTGGATAGTTTTTTAGCTCTTATGTTACCATAGAAGTCAGTTGCTTTTTGTACTACAGTTTGAAAACAAAATCATTACTCCTATTTCATTTCTTTCTTTTATATGTGGAGTTTGGAGAAGTCCTTAGAATTCCTGTCATATTTGCATATAAGTGGAAACATGAGTTGTGTTGACAGTACTTAATTTCAAACTCTAAAAATAATTTCTAAATTTAATGGCGGCTTTCTAGACCATTTATATTCAGTTTTACTTAGCAACAAATGTCAGCACTGTCATGGTTAATATGTTAACACATGGAGCCAAGAATAAAATTCTCCTGTTGTCAGGCTAGCCAGGAAGCAACTTCCACCACACGGCCTTACAAATCCCTCAGGAACCATTATGGTAAATGCTGTAGTCGCTTAGCCCTACCCAAATGTTGTGAGAAAGTGGGCTGCAGTTATTCTGTATACTTTTCACTTTTAAGGAGATTACAATTCCTAGCTAATTTTTATTATTAGTTGAAAAACAGCACAGATGTTCCCTCAATTAATTAATGTTCTTTAATCAAATAAGTCCCTTGAGGAACCATGTCAGTTTTTCAAGAGTCCGTGGAGATAGATGGCAGAACACTATGCAAACAGGTTACTGCATTATTTTCATGCTCTACATGTCTTTTAAAATGCTTGAAAAAGCTTTTTTTTGTGTAAAATAGTAAATTTTAAATAGTATGTTTTTACCAAAATAATTTGGAGATATGTTAAGCATATACAGCGATTATGTGATAAATATCGTCACCATCAAGGGGGTGAGAATGGAGGGTTATTAAGATGCCTTCCTAGAGATCCAGCGTGAAGTGAATCTTCGTTCTGAGAACAGTCTCAAATGCCGTTGCTTTCACATTATTTAGTGCATGAGTGTTGCTGAAGCCTGAAGCAGTACTGGCAGCAGGTGAGGACATATGTAATAGTATCATATAGTGTGTTGTACTATTGAACTGTTTGAGAAAAAAGTGCAGCCACATGAAGCACCGTGGCTTTTGCTGTCAGTACAGGCCTCTCAGGGATCCTCACTGTCAGGATGGGAAATGCCACAGTGAATTGAACTACTTCAAATGGAGACTGTTCAGTTATTTACATTACATTCTCTGAGGTGCAGAGAACCTTCCAGAAGAGGTTTGTGCAGAAACAACTCTTTTGCATCGTTGCAAATTTCCATGTTTTCCAGGTGCGCTTGTATTTTGTTATTTTACCAGATGTGCCTTTGGTGCCAGATAGATTTTGGGTGGGGAAAATAAGTCCCTTTAACATTTTTACATGTTAAACCTAGAATTTTTAATGAGATGAGACATAGCAGCAAGATATCCAGCATTGTCCATGCAAAATTGCATTTTCACCTGGCTGTATCTGTTAATTGTTTTAGCTGAAATTTCTCGGACCAAAAGGTCAGCCATGAGGCTTGGTTTGCCTTGGGAAACTTCACTTAAGTAGCTGCTGCACTTCGCCCTGGAGCTGCAGGTGGGGAGGCAGGGGAGGCAGTCCTTGCCATGGGTGCAGGCAGCTGGGAGGAGGTGACAGCAGGGGGAAAGGCACCAGAGCAACATAAAGCCAGTGAGGAATGTGAGCCATGCGGCCAGGCATCAGCATGAAGGTGAGGAGAGAATAAGCGGGACAGGTTGGAACAAGAGCCCAGCATCAGAAAAAAGGTTGAGTGATTTGGGTATGGAGCCAGGCCATGAGCTGAGGAGGACATGGAGAAGTGTGAGCGGTAGACTGGAGAGACTGGAAACAGGGTGTCCACATTGACATCAAAGCGTGCTGCCTCCTGACTGTGGGTCACAATGCGACCTTAGAGCTAGGTGAGCTTTTCCAAGGGAGACCTTCCTGTGAGCAGGGGGAAACAGAGTTTCTGTAAGAGAAAACTTTTTTTTTTAATTATGAGGAACAACGGTATGTTTCATCAATATGATTACTCTGTAAAAGTAAATCAGAAATGTGGAGATACTTCATACTGTCTTGTTTGTTAGGTTTCCTGTCTCTGAAAGTACAGTAGAGGCAGGATGGGAAGCAGAGACCTTTCCTGCTCCACCATAGCTAAAAGAAAACCATGGCATTTACTGTATTAATAAATGTTTTGGGAAGTAGCCTCATAAGTAAAAGGAAAGGAAAAAATGCATGGTATGTTACCTTTCAGAGCAATACTTCTGTTTTTTTGCTGTTGTTGGGTATTTTCTGATAGTAAACGGTATTCCACTGAGGGAGCAAGAGTTGAAACACAGCTTGTTCTCTCTAAGATTATTTTGCTTTCTTTCGAGTTTTAGATAAAACCATTTTCCTCCCACACAGTCTCTCCTGTCAGACAGCTGCCAAGATTAATCCCACTCAAGAAAAAGGCTTTAATATACAGAGAAGAGCTGAGTCCCATTACTGCTATCTGTATGCAAGTGCATCTGTGTTGGTGGAATAAATGTATATGTGCAGAGGGGGGAAGGTGAAATTAAAATCTTCCACTGAAAGTGAGTTTGGAACTTAAATGATGACGTCTTTGGAAATAAACATCCCAGTGATGGCAATTGTTATGTTGCAGAAAGGGATTAGAAAGGGTGACTTGGCTGATAATCTGTGCTGGTACAGGAGTCCAGGGAGGGCAGATACATAGCTTCTTCAAGGTGTAGTCTCTAGGTGCTTAAGGTTAACAGTACTTCCAAACTGCTTGTGTCATGGGACAGGGGAAGAAAAAGGAGTTGTAAATGCAGAGGATCTAAGCTTTTAATTAAATAAATCAAAATCCTCCGTATCCTTCCTTGCCTCAGATCCTTCCATGCCCCCTTAACATGACTGGCTTGTGGTCAAACCATTGCAACCCGTGGAGGCAGAAGTGATCTGTGATGCCAGGCAGGGGTGGCCGAGTGCCACCAGAGCTGGATGTTTCATCCATGGTCACCTTTAAGAGGGGGAGAGAGGACTGGGATCTTGGGAAGAGCACTGACGCTTAACAAGCAGCAGCCCTTAGCAATGGCAGTGTAATGTAAGTCAACTTTCAG